CTTTTTCTCTCTCTCTCTCTCTCTCTTTTTTTTTTTTTTTTCAATCTTTCCTAATGGGTGTTTGTTTCTTGCTCTGTTATTGGCTGTGGGTTGCTGGAAACCTGAGATGGCAGCTGTCCAGAAGAGCTCAGCGATGAAATGGAATTCCCCTGTTGCAGAGAGCAGGCTTCTCCTGTAAGTCACAAAAAGTTCACAGTAACACAGCTAAACTTGTGAAAAGGCTGCTAGAAAAAAACCTATCCAGGGAAAGCACCATCCTAAAACTTAGTTGGCTGTAAGACTGCACCGATTTTACTGTAAGGATCAGTTTAGAAAACTGTGCCTTGCCCAAAGGAGGAGGAGGTTCTCTGGATTGTACAGGGCCCCAGGACTCTGAGAACTTGTGTCTGGCAGGGACCAGAAACTGAAAGTTACATCTGAATTCTGGGCATGGCTTATGCTGCTGTTGCAGAACCTCCTTCCTCCCTTCACCCCAGTTATGTTTTGTGGCAATCGTGTAGGATTATGCTTTCCTCTAGACTACCTGCTAGCCAAATTCAGTCAAATTAGAATTACAGTGACAGCACTGAGCAAGATATATCTCAATCTCCCATCTTCTGTCAGCAGGAGGCATAAACTATAGTGACTGGTCATCTTTATAAGAGCCATTTGACCATTGGTCAGCCATAGTGCAAGGACTTCAGATTATAGGTTTACCAGTATACGAAGGAATATGCCAGATGCTCAACTATGGCCATTCAGACTGTGTGTGTGTGTGTTTTTTTTTTTTTTTTTTTTTAAACAAACAGATAAAAAAGCCTTGATCTATCCTGCAGCAAAGGTTTTAAGAATGTCCTGAAGCTCGACTTTATAAATTAATATATGCTTAGCATTTCGATTGCCCTATGCAAGGGGTTGTTGGTGTTTTTGCTTACGGCCTCTTAGCTGGGTGAAACTTATTCCATGGGAACCTTCCAGCCCTGTGGAAAATACGAAGTCACATTTATTGAAAATTACCTCATACAGGAGTTGGCTTGCTGTGCAAGTACCTGGATTTCTAACGAGTTTTGAAGAATTTCTTATGTTGGCTCATTTGCAAGTTAAGTCTTGATCAGAAAAGACTCTGGACCTTCTACTAAGTTGCCCATCTAAGTGAACACAGTGTTATAATTATGTGGTTTCTATGGTGGGACTATTCTTTGGGGGTTGTCTTGTATTTTTAATCCTAATACAGGGCCACATGTATTTGGGAAAGAAGAAACTTTTTTTTTCCCAATAAAAATCAGACTCAAAGTACCCAGAGTGAAGTGAGAAAGGGTGTTATAGATAAGTGTTTCAACAGAAGCTTTGCATTGCTATAGCTAATGGGCACTAATCTGATCCTGGGTGTATTAAAAGCTGACTCTTCGGTAAAAGTAGAGCGGCTATCTTGATTCCTGCGGTCTGTTTCTGGTGCCAGCACTTGAAGCTGTGGAACTAAGGATCTAGAAAGTACTTTTATGATGAGGGCCTGAATTAAATCTCTCAAGCGTTTCTCAATAAACAAAGCACTACTTTGATCTCTGCCTACTTGCACACTGATAATGGAAAACCGTTCAGATATCTTTTTCACATAGTGGCAAAAGATCTTTTTTTTTTTAAAAAAAAAAAAAAGACAAAATTTAGCTAGACATTAGTCTTGAGCCAGTTGCTAAGAATTCAATTGAAGAGTGGAAAAGCTTTTGAGAGCAGATAGCAGCTACATCATCATTTTGTCTTAATCATTAAGCTACACATTCATCTAGATTTTTTGCTATCTTCTCGGCTTGGAGAAGTGGGGAGCTGGTGATCCCACATGGATGACTTGGGAGGCATTTGTAATCCTTGAAGTCTGTGTGAAGCCAGTGGTGGTCAGTGCTTGGGCTTTGGAACTGAAGCTGACTTCCCCGTGCACAGTGTAAGTGGGTGTTCTGGGCAGCGGTATGGTCTCCTAAAGTTGGGAAGAGCACGTTCATGAGAACCTGTACTTGTGTCAGGAAATGTCAGGTGCAGATGTCCAGCTGATCTCTTGACTGAGGCAACGTGAGCCCTCAAGAAGAGGGGTAAGGGTGGAATTTCCCCTGTCGAATTCTGCGTTTCTCTGGAGTCTGGCATGTAATCTCCTACAAAGATCATCATCCTAAGTAGTTCTGTGCAGTCATGGTCATCACGTATTTTGCTGGTGTCTTGGACTTTTATGTCTCTTTGCATCTGTGCTCCTTTCACCTGAGGATTGATATGCCTTAATTTAGCTAAAATGTTCAGATTTGATAGTGGATAAAAGTGTATCCTGCTCTTAAACACCAAGAAACTGTAGAGGAATTGCACAAATGTAGAAACAAGTCTGATCCTTTATATATACACACACAAAAGCTTTTCACACAAAAGCTTTTTTTTTTTAATTTCTCTACTGATGCCCAATTTTATTAAAACCCATCTTAAATATTTTTAAAGGAATTAGTAGGAGTTGAGTGAATTTTACTGCATCCCTAAAATCTATTTTATTTTTGAATTAAGTTAATACTACAGTCCAGAAGATATTCATAAATTATTATTGAAAGGAGAGTAGCTGTAATACTGTATACAGAATGCTTCAGTGAAGACTATTAAAAAGGGAGTGTTTCACAAGACTTTTAGGGCAGTCTTTGGATACTTACATAGAAAAATTGCAGGGAAAACCCTGCAAAGGGTGTGGGGTTTTGTTGTTGTTTTGTATGTGTGTGTTCGATTTGGGTTTTTTTTTTTCAATAGTAAGATATGTCAACCTGTAGGTTTTATAACAAGATTATACTTTATTTGAAGACTAAAATGTCATTCTCCGCTTGTATTTGTATGTCATAACTGTTAGTAGTTCCTTTGCTAGGATCTGCAGACAGCTAAAGTATATATATTAGAACTCTTATTCTGATTTGGGAGTAGGTATATGTGAAATACAAATAAGAGGATGCAGCAGTAATCTTTAGGCTTTGACTTTCAAGCTAGAATTGCTTGATTGGGCCTGGAGGATTAGTATAATGCCAGGAATGATTAATGGAAAATAACTAA